AAACTTGCCAGTGAAATTTTAGATGTGCTTATTTGTCATAAAAAGGTTAAAACAGATAAGCACACAGATGGAAGGTGCTAATATAATAAAACCAAACGAAACTAAGTCTTATTTAAAAGCCAAAACGAAAAGGTTAACATTTTAAAACGTACAAAGGCTTAACATTATGGGTGAAAAAGCAGCCAAAGTTTTTTTGAAACACTTTAAAAGATACTTGGATGATTTGATTCAGACCACTTTAAAATACCAAATAAAAGTCTAGCTCTTTGGAAATAAAATATTAGGAGGTGGGCTGAAATGATTACAAACAGCTACTTTTGCAATAATTGCAACTATGAAAACCCTTTTATAATACTGTAATAATATTATTTCACAAGTCTTCAGATAAAGGCTTAGAGCAAAATAGTCAGTCCAGTACATTTAGTGTTGTTTTGATAAAAAACTTTGGTTTAAGTGTCTCAAATGTAGCCCGGGGGCCATTTGTGGCCCTAAGGGTAGTTTTGTGCGGTGCCCAGGTGCTTTTTTTGAATGGTTCAATTTTGTCTCTCCAGCAGGCTTCTGATGTAAATGAACACATTTATGACACGTTTCTTACTAATATGTCCATTCTAGGCCTATTTTGGGAAAGTGCAAATAAAAAATACCATATATTAATTATTGTAGAAGAAGAAATTTTTTAAATAGTGCATTTTAATATAAAAATCACAAGACACTCCAGAAGCACAATAAGAAATATAATAAAAGGACACAATTCAAAAGATAAAAATGTAAATAGAAACGGTTAGTCTAGACTTCTAGCCTAGAGAAAATTGGTTAAAATGCCCAAAATGTCAGCGGGCTCTTACTGAGAGGCTATGGAAAAATAACATATGTTGATGTAATGTTAAGTTGAAGCGTGGATGAGTAGTTTTATGACTTCCTGATCAAAGAATCTGGAAAATGAGTCAGCAGATAAATCAGTAATCTACTACAAGCTCATTGTAAAACAAGAGACAAAGTACCAAAAACAAAACCAACACTAGTTAACTACAAAACAAGTTAGTCTTGTACAGTAGCTCACATGGGTGAGTGATGGACCCACTAGAACACTTATACTGGACTGCTACCGGTCCCTGAGCCACAATTTTAAAAACTCCGCTCAGATAAAGCCTGAGAGTTCATCGAGGGCGTGCGGAATAAAAGATCCTGTTGCAGCAGTTTTGTATTTGAATGGGAGGCCTACGGCTCAGTGAGCGTGTCTGATATAAGGTGGGCGCTAGGACCCGGGAGGAGCACGCTGCCACAGAGACAGCAGACAGCGCATTAGGGAGGTGTAGTGGAAGAAAAGGCAAGAGAAACGGAGTAAATGAGAGCACTTCTGTCCACATTGTTGAAGGACCTATCAACTCATTTACCTTCGAAACGCGCCGTATAATGAAACGGACACATTGTTGAGCTCCTGTCCAGGTAAATGACCGCGTTTTCTTAGCACGTTTAACTCCAAGAAGGTCGACAGCTAAAACAGGGTAGGTCCCCATTGTACTTAATGGGATGCGGTTATTCTCACCCAAGCTGCCCCGCTAGGCCCCATATCCTCTCTGTCGCTGAAAGCAAACTGAATTTTAGCACATTTCTGCTTCACTTTGCCGAATAAACTACTGGGTACGAAAGCGAGGGGCTTCCCAGCAGGACGCCACAAACTGCGGCTCGTTGTTGTTTTGCTACGAGCAACATTTAGCTCATTTTCAGTGATGCTAGCTGTTCTCTTTTGACCACTTTTGGAGACACGGCGAAAAACGGCCCCTAAATGAGTGTTGTGCACGAAATTGTTCACCTCTGCTGGGAAGTTGTTTTTGCTTGAGCTTTATGACCCTGAAGGCAAATGAAAACAAATGAGCTCAACACGAGAGGCCAGCTCATTCATTGTTATAAACGGCCACTGCGTTTGTTTACTTACCTTAGTTGGATTTTTATCGCTAAACGTTTAAACCGAAGCCACTCTTTCTGGTTGCGTTTTAATTACAATCTCAGCGGATTTACTGTAGTTTGTTGGGCCTTTTTTAGTTTTCATAAGTTGATCCATGAACTGGACTCCAGGGAGGTCGAAAGAAAAGGCCACAGCATTGTTATTTTCGAGTTTTCCTGTCCAGTAATCAGCCCAGTGAGATAATGCATGTTTTTGATAGGTCCTTCTGTCTTCACTGTCATTATCACCACCACCTACAGCAATGACAGTGGTTCCCTTCTCCACTAGATCATGGTAACTACAGCTTTCTTTCTGGTCAGGTAAGATAAGATTACATGTGGACTAATGTGATGGACTGCACATCTGAGCACCACAGCTTCTGCAACTTTGAATCATGTTTCTACCAATATTTATTTGTCTCAGTTTGTCAGAGTTTAGAATGGCATCCCCAGGCATGCTCTACCCGTCATTTGTCCATTTTTCAAAAATATTATTGGTCATGAGACTTCGTCTGACTGTTGTGTGTACGCAAAAGGAGTTTGGCATGTGACCCGGTGAAGACGCAACAAGCTGGCGTAATGATGCCGCCAGTGACTCTCCCTGTTCTGTTTTCAGAATACCAGTCACCTCCCACCTGATCCCCCCTCGCAGCTCCATTGACGCAAATGTGCCCCTAGTTGCATGCAGAATCCGAGGAATGTTGTTAAAAATTTTGCCCCTTCAAACAGATGGACTCAGAGACAGACCTGTTCAGGTCATGGGAGTTTATGATCGAGAGAGGCACACGCTGCTCTCAGCATCTCACAAAGCTCTTTTCTGTCTGTGTCACAAAAGCTGAGATCCTTTCTGATAAAAACACGTGCTTTGTTAATGTCTTCTTGTCATTTGAGTATTGAGAGCAGTAAATGAGTCTGGACTGCATGAACAGCATCAAAAATGAACACATTAACAGCTTGCTGTTGGTGAGGACGAAGGCTAGCGAGGCTGCATGTCTTACTGTAATTTTAGTGTTCAGCTACTGCCATGTTTTCATTGCCAATTATGTGTTTTCAGGGAACTTGAAAGAGGAACTTGGGACTGTATAGTAGATTCTACTAACGCCAGTTCCACTCTAGTATTTGAATACAAACAAGCATGATTCATGGAATAATTTCCACTAACAGGAGAGCTTGTTTGATGTTCTCGTTCCTTTTAATCGTTTTAAATGCTTGTGACTAATGACAAAGCGACTGCAGACTGTATTGTTTACCTGAGCTGCAGCAGCAAATGGAAGAAACAGACTCGTATCTATTGATCTGTTTTAATGACGGAAGTGGTGTGGTGATGTCAGCCTGATTTTCTGCCCCCTTCCTTTTAGCACATGGGACTGTCCTGGCCCAGACCCGGGCTCGGTGTGTGGTATCTTTTGCACCGAATGGGGTACGCCTCACTTCTTTAAACTGGAGCCAGAAAGATGAATAATTGAAAACGGTCTTGACATCAGGGCAGGGAGGTAGGCGGTGGCCCAGAAGCCCTCAGACCATGTGATCCGCTGTCAGGGTACTGGGTTCATTTAGTGGCTGCAGCGCTGGCAGTAGCCCAGTTTTTCCACACAGGCCGCAGTAGCAACAGGTCGCTCCCATTAAAACAGCAGCACTCTGTTGTGGCTCTAGAGCCAGTCTTGTGCATGTGCTGCTTTTTTGGCCGTGGCTGGTGCGCACTCCCGTGTGTTCATATGATGGATCCCGGTGCGTGTGTAACGTGTCTGTGTCACCGAGTGCACTCTGAGGTGCAGAAAGGATTTCATAGTTTCAGTCATGCCTTGTTTGATTGATCAGTTGAAGGATCCGTCTAGTAAAAAGGCAAACATTAGAGTAAAATCTTGATTTGGTACATTCACCTTTGCTCAAGAAGTGAGAGGTGAGAGAAGGGCTGTAAAATAAATAAATAAATAAAAAAAAACGAGCTGATCGCACATTTAGTGAGAGATGTAGTTAAGCCTGAGGCTGTACTGATATGACTTGTAGTCTGTCAATAGGCAAAGTCACTTCCTGTTGTTGGCCCCACCAGTGAACTGAATGAGGTCAGTGAAACGGAGCATTTCTCTGATGTAGCAGCAGAAAAATTGATTTCAGTCGATGGTCAGTGTGCAGCGTGTGGTACTTGTGTATGCAAGCATGGCCGTTGATAATTGTTTTCCTTCAGCCCTGCTTTCAATGCAGTCTTTATTTTAAAAAGAGGGCAGAGATGAATCAAAGTGTTTTTGTAATGATAGCCTGCAGGTTTGGTTTGTGGTGTTGATGGATAACTGCTAAATATTGTGGAACAAAACCAGTTTGTCAGATGACTCTTAGTCTTAGTGGAACATTATTATTTTACACTTTGATTTGGTTGGAACTACAGAAGGCGTCTGCTTGTGAGTTGTGACCTCTTAGCCGTTATAACTGAACTTCGCAGCGTGTGATCGAACTCAAAGGTGACACAGTTAGGGGCAGCAGTGGCTCAGGAGGGAGAGCGGGTTGTCCAGTAATCGGAGGGTTGTAGGGTCGATCCCAGCTCTTGGCAGATATTTCTGCTGTTGTGTCGTTGAGCAAGACACTTAACCCTCATTACCGGCTGATGGTGGTTGGAGGGACCGGTGGCACCAGTGCGTCCCAGGGCAGCTGTGGCTACAATGTAGCTTATCACCTCCAGGGTGTGAATGACTGTGTTGTAAAGTACCTTGGGGGGTTCTCGAACTCTAGAAGGCACGTTTGCACACAAATGTTTTTAGTAGCTACATTCAAAAGGAAATTGAAGTGTAAGTTCATATTATAAAGAAGACTGAATTTAAGTGTGTTTGTTATAGTTTGCATAGTTGCACTGCTAGCTTACAATAATTATAATGTAAAACCTCTTTCTTGATGCATGCCCACTTTTCCTGCTACTTGTGTTAGAAAGGACGTTGGAAAAAAAATCGATTTGATGAAATATCACAACATTTTGTATCATTTACTGCCAGCATTTTTTAGCGTTTTTACTGTTTTTTTAGGAGTCACAGAACGTTGTGCGCTAAGATGATGTCAGCGCCAAAACTAAAAAAAGAAAGCGTAGACTCACCTCTTACATCAGAAAGAATCCGCGCGTTTCGAGCTTTATCCGTTCTTTCTTAATCCGTTGTTGAATTGTGATCGGCAGAAGCTTTTCCAGTTCGCGCCTCACTTTTTTTTTTACAGCAGCGGCCCAAAACGATCTCCTAACACATGGATTTTCTGCTTCCTGATCACGTGTGACGTACGCGGATGAAGATCGGCTTTAGAGCTGAGATGTTTGTTCTCGCGGTGCGGGGGCTCGTTCCGACACCCACACAGTAAAAAACATGCCATGAACAGTTGGATTTAAAATGGCAACTTTTGTCATCAATGGCAGTGAATGAGTTAAAGAATCGGTATTTAAACCGGTGTAGGGATTTTTTTATTGGGAATTAGGGCTGGGCAATAAATCGAAAATCGAAATTTCTGACTCTTATTGGAATCATTTTCCCCATATCAATAAATTTGATAATAAAAAAAAGAAAAGATGTGTGTAGGCTGGCAACGTTCAAGTCCATTTAAGAAGCTTCTGCCACCTTGAGTCACGCAAAAATGTGACTCAAAGTAATAACATGTGAGAGCCCCATCTAGTGGACAACTTTTGTTTCTGCGCATACCTGTAGTTATCGTCCATTTATCGTTATCGAAATGAAATCCTCAGTAAATCGTGATATTAATTTCAGGCCATATCGCCCAGCCCTATTGGGAATTTACATACAATCATTTCTCTTGTGTGGTACTATTCAGACTCCGACTGCTAGTTAGCAGCAGTTTGTAGTACCGCTTTCATTCTGATGGAACGAGATTTTGCAATATATTTTATTAACTTCCCAGTATTGTGATGGATATCGTATCACTAGATTCTTACCAATACACACTCTTATGTATTGATGTAAAATTAAAAAAGTTCAAATTAAACGTTATTTTGCCAAATTGAAAATGGTATTGAATTTGTTTCGTCCTCCCTAAAATTAGATCCTTCAATTGGATTAAAGAAGTAAAATAAATGAAATAAATCTTCATGGAAACACACAATGCTGCCATTTTGAATGGAATAAAAAATGTAACTTTACAAAAATATTTTTGCGTAAGCCCTTCTACAACTGCAAATGAAGCTTGTGTGAGAATTATTGGACTTTTTTTTTGTCTGGTGCTGTTGTGGTCACGAGTAGAGGGGAAAACTTCTGGTCTATCAGGAATGGCTGCATCTGTTGTGAACAGCATGGAAATTTCCGAAACGGGAGACTTCGTCATGAATGCCAAAAAAAAAAGGAAAAAAAAATACAGCCTTGCGCAGTTATTTGAACCTTGAAATGTTGCAGGTTCCACTTGTTAAAAGGACACCGCTGTGGTTGTCCTCCTCTGATTGGCCCTAAAGCACGAGGATTTTCTCAGTTACACGGCCTCTGCTCCGCTCCACGGCGTTGACCTGAGGGTTAATATTCAGACACACGGAAAAAATCTTTTACCTTAAAGTGAGGCTAATTTTTACTTTTCTTCAACTAATAGGTTACCATCATTGAGAAGGCAGCTTTAAACCCCAGGATCCCATCTCACGGCTCTCGCTTGGGGCTGTGTGAAGGAAGCAAAGTTGTGTCTCTCCCTGAGGGAAACCTGGATCCTCCATCTTGCCCACCAACATGACCAATGTGGTGATTGTCAAGGAGGGATGGCTTCATAAAAGAGGTAAATACAAAGATCAAATGCAAATGTATGGTTTATTTCACCATTTTGTTGCCAATACAAGGATTTCAGTGATTTAATGGTAACTATGGCATGATAAATGTTTAGGGATTTAATATTGAAATTAAAATTCTCTTAATGAACTACTTGGTGGTGCTGTGTGGTGTGGCTAGGTCCTGTGTCAGGCGCGAGTCCTGTTGTTAGGACGAAAATGCATTCCTCACATACCTGCTGGCTTTGAGCAGCTTTAGGTGTGCTTACTAACTCTGGCTTCAGAGCCCACTCCATCACCATTTGGGACAAAATAGGATAAGAACATTTTCCAAAACCATTGAAATCTCTTGGGCGCATCGCCATTAAACCAGGCTTTTACTGGAAGAGGGGAAACTCGGACTTAATGGATAAGATAGCGGGAGCAGGTTGCAAGTGAACACTCCTGGGGGCAGATTGCTGTTTTGTCTACACATCCTCAGGGCTCGGATCAGCCCGTATTTTCCATTGGATGCGTAACGTAATGGATGCTTTTTCACCGCGACTTCAGCGGCGCCTCCCCTCCCACTGGAGAGGCGAGAAGATTTGTAAGTTCACGTGTGATTTAGTCTCTTCACATGATGACAAGCAAATAGAGAAATGGCAACATGCATTTAAAAGGGTCTGAGTTATTTCCTTTTTTTATTTTTTACCTCCACCAAAGAAGTGCCACTGGTAATCTGCACCTGTCTCTACTGTTGAAATTTGCTGAATGCTTTAAATTGCTTTCAATTTGATTTCCTTTCTGCCTCTACGCGAACTGCTGAGCTTGACGTGTTCTGAAAGCATAACATGTAAAAAATAAAAGTTCTCTACCCAAATTTATATGACCGCTTAGGCGTCTGTGATGCATCCGAGACGCGCCCCTGCGCTCCTGTTAAAAACAAACCCACTAAAGTTTTGGTCCATAGTGTGACGTCATCAAGGAGAGAAGCATGGATCCCACCCCTGCTCCGCCTCCCCCTAAAGCAGGAGCTGAAAGCTTCGCCTGATTTCGCGCAGATGCAGCGAAAGTGGAGTCGATTTAATTTTTTTTTGAGACGAAGTAGAAAGCAGTCGAGGAATCTGTAAGTTCCTCACTTGTTTTGGTTGCTCCAATACAGACCTCTGGCTTCTTCTTCGTTGGTGTGCTAATTAGGGCTGCAACAAACGATTATTTGGATAATCGATTAATCGGATGGGGTCTCGACACGATTAATCGATTAATCGGATTACATGGGGAAATTTTTAAAAACTGCTAGGGAAACGTTATTTCTCTCCTTCCTTCACTTTATTTAACACAACATTATTAGAAAACAGTTCAATAGCAGAAAAACAACATGCCATCACCTAAATTGTCTTATAAGGTGTATAGACAGAGACCCTAAGCTACATCTATCTGTGACCTAAAATGCTTGGTCCAAGTTAAACAGCTTAAGGGCAATTCTCATCTGTTTTGTTTGATCTCATCTGTTGACATTTATTTTAAATGTAATTAAACATAGGCTGTGAATTAATCAAAATTGATCACTATTTCCAAAAATGACTGAAAAAATACCAAATAAAACAAAAGTAAATGAATGCCATTCTCCTTGCGATGATGCCCTGGGCAACTGCCATAAAGTCACATCAAGAAATGCTGCTGATCATTCCAATGATCCCAAATAGACTCACATTAGGCCACATGAAAGCAACTGAACCCAAAAATATATTAACCAGTATATAACTGCACTCTCACACAACACGCCTGCAGCAACAGTTAGGACTCCTCCCTCCCTTTTAAAAGCGTTTTTGCTTCCGAGGACATTGTGGTTGTAAAACCACATGCTAGTAGTCTGGCCCCGGTGTGATCAACCAGTTTCTGCGGGAATGTGACGGCGGAACCAGGGCCAGATTAACACTTTGTTGTACCCTGGGCAACAATATTCAAGGGCTCCATCATCACGACCCGAGGATCACCATAATGTGGTCACATACAGAATATTTTACTGTAATATGCAGTAAATATACTCAATACTTGAATGCCTGACAACACGTAACCCGCCCAGAGTAACCTTTGACCCACCTCGTGTGGACTGACCAATGAGGAGAGGGTCTTAACTTGAGGCCCTCTCTTCATTGGTCAGTCTGCATGAGACTGACTCTCAACTGACATTCAGTCGTAGGCAGCGAAGCTTCTCTGTGCAGCGCAAAAGCCCGGGTGGACAGTTTGTTTAATGTAGGGTGACCATATTTCCATTTCCAAACAAGAGGACAGGTGATCTGTGCCTATGACGTCACACTATGGCAACGCCACACAAACCATGTTGGGACCCATTTTTTGTAAGAACTAAATTAATATCAGATTCTGCCAATAAAAGGGCTCTAAAACAATTCATATGTAAATATTTTGCATATTTAATGCAAAATCTCATTTTTATGCTTTAGTGCTGCAACAAGGTTTTATTAATAATAAATTATTATACCTTTTGTTTTACTACAGCATCGGTAAGCTTCCTGTGCACAGATTATTAAGGATGCTTGTTTCAGCTGTGAGATTAGACGATAGGATCAATGATAAAATAAGTTGTCACACACTCCATGGAAACTTTCAGATAATCCACAAATAGTGGCTTTCAAATGGTTTTGTTACTTTTTGCAAGTTTAGAAAAGAAGCTGATGAGACAGCATGTCTGATAATTTAGTTTTTCATCTGATATATTAGAACATGTCAGTAATGTCTGAGGGGCTTTTACAAACACTGTATAACTAATACTCCTGGAGAGGGCATGAATTACACAGAGGCTTCTGGGGAGCCCAGTTATGGGGGGGGGGGGGGGGGGGGGGGGATTTTGCCTTGGCCCCCAAAATGTCTTGAAACGGCCCTGGGTGTGTGACTGAGTTTTGAAGGTGATCTGAATTGTATCAGATGTATAAATATGACATGTGTATAACTTATTGTTTTTTACTGGTAAAAACGTGTAGTGGAGATAAATCTACCTACATTTTACTTTGTTTTCTTGTTTTTATTTAACTATTTTCCTGTCCTGTCTGTCTCTCATCTTCCTGCATCTCCTCATAATTCTCCAGAAAATCTGTTGCCTGGATTCTTACTTTTTCACCTCATCAGTTACTTTTGAGCAGATCAAAGAGATCTCCTGACCGCAAAGCGGAGAGCGCGTTTTTGATGCTGCGTGAGGTGAAATCACCACAGCACAGGTGATGAGCTCCGCAGCAGAGCGCTTCAGGCACAAATAAGACAGAAAATAGAGAACATGTGCAGACAAGAACGATCGTGTGCTAATTATAGTTTTTTGGTTGCGCCACTTTGAGAATGGACCGTGCGCTGGAAGCAGCTGCCTGGATCGCTGTGCAACAATGCGGAACCGGTTCGCAGCAGCGCAAGTCTGCAGACTCTCCCTCGCACTGATCTGCGGCTCTCCCTCGCGCTGATCTGCGGCTCTCCCTCGCGCTGATCTGACTTGCTCTGGTCTGCGCGCAACGGTGGGCGGGAGCGCTTTTGGAAGAGTTGTGCGACACAACGAATCGATGACGCAATTCGTTGCCAACGCTTTTAGTAATCGATTTTCATCGAATTCATCGATTCGTTGTTGCAGCCCTAGTGCTAATCTGACTGAGGTATTCCACTCTGCAGTTCATGCTGGGGACTGGAGCGCAATGATCGACAGCTCCCTCTTGTGGATACGCAACGTTCTAGTCTCACATGAAGGATTCGTTTTGCACTCTATAAATAATGAAAGATTACCCGCTTTATGCAGTCGATCAGGGTTAATAGTCAAATATAAGAAATCTTAAAACAGTGTACCCAGCTTTAACTATAATGGCAGTTCGCAGATGTTGCACCACGCTTACCCCAAGGCGCGTCACTACACAGTCATTTACAGATTCACACCCGCATTTACACGCTGGTGATGAGCTACGATGTAGCCACAGCTGACAGCACTGACAGAGGCGAGGCCAAACACTGGCGCCACTCATCCCTCTGACCACCACCAGCTAAGTAGGCTAATGCAGAGGTAACTTGTCTCCACAAGAGAGCTAAATGTCTGTTTTTTGGTGGTATTTTAAACCGGAAACAAAGGCAGTGTATCAGCCACTTGTAATGTGTGCGTACTGTTCGTTCAACATGCTGGTAAAGACAGCTGCCTTCAAAACGAGCCACTTTCTCCTTTGGCCTTTTTCCCTTCAGGCGTTTCCACAGCAAATCAGCTGTCTGCATTAAGTCCCATTTCGTAGCAGCATCTCTAATAAAAACACAGAGCCGACCAACAGTGAAAGATATGTTGATAAACACTGAGAAATTGCAGACGGACAGCAAAACGTTCTGGTTTCTCATTCTGCAGCACCATTCTGCAGCACCTGAGCTGACCGCACCAGTAGCTACAGGTGCTGTGCAGATAAAAGTTACCCTGCTGGCTGTGACGCCACGTGCCTGCCCTGTCACGGGAGCACCCATCACTCAATAGAGCTGCATAATGAGGATGTAAACAGTTGGAAATGTGAGAAATGCAGCTACTTTTAAATATATTCATAATATTACTACAGTTTTTGTTGGCATACTTTCTAAACATGGTGTATTTTGGCACATAAACGAAATAAATTATATAAATACAGAAATAAATAAATCCCTAAATAATAATTTAAAAATAAAAGGAAAACTTGGATGTGTCTTCCCTTGTTTTTTCTTATATTAATGCTTTGCTGAAGTATCGGGTCGGGACTCCATCGGCGGATACTCTAAATCAAATGACTCGGATCGGGAGCAAAATGAATGTGATTGTCACATTCCTAATAACAGTGCAGTCAGTCAGTCACAAATACTAGCTGACATTTCATTGCATAATCTAGCAAAGTATTGTTTAATTGTTCTAATTGTTATCAGTGCTGCAGACTGTGAAGCCATTTAATCTTATTTTTGGACACGGCGTTCACACGAGTCCTATGTCTTCATAACAACACCCAGTAGAGACAATTAAACCTGCGTGGGTTGTATG